GGGGGGGGGGGGGGGGGTACCGTGGATCAATGCATCGATTTGACGGCCGTCAGGTTTTTGTTACCCTTGGTCTGTCTACCTTCACGGCGTGAGTCGTTCGAAATAAATAATTCTTGAAATGACGACCCGATCTTATTTGGATCACTTGGCTGTTCTGCAGTATCTATCATTAGTTTCTTTTCAGCGAACGCTTGAAGTCTGTGTGATGATTTCCCTCTGTTATGGACGCGAGCAGAGACCCGGAGCACTTCATCGATTCTGCGCTCAATTTGCGCTAAGATCTAGCCGATACACTGTATTCCAATGCTACAATTTGTTCGTGTGTTTGGATACGGACAGGTATTGATCGACCGCAGTAGTAACGGATATATTCGCAGATAGGAACGTAGACATACCATTTTGGGGTTCTTGTGTTTGTGACCCCTGCTTCTCTGTTTTCCGGAAGCACTCTTCTCCTTCTCTTCTCTTGCTTCTGCGTTTCTAATACAAGCGATATTCAGTCTCTCCCTTCCAAGTCGNACTGACGTCTTTTCATTGGTCAGCCGGTTAGCGCGGTCGATGCTAATAATAAAAGCACACACACACACACACACGCCAGCCAGTGTAGGGGCTTACCTGCGTCCGGTAGGAGCGATGGACAGAATAGATAGGCAGTTTTTTTGGCACTTGAACGTGCGGTGTCCCAGAGCATGCCATGCCGTGTTGATTGTCATCCTGTTGTTTTCTCGGAATTAAAATGCGGTGACGGTTCCGGACCCTTCTTCAAAACAGAAGTCCGTTCTTCAAACCGATGTCTTAAGAATCCTTCGTGACTTATTTTCTCTCTTTCTGTGCCAGATGACCTTGTCTCTGCTTGCGCTGTGAAGCACCAAGATTGAACCAAGGGGGGGGTGTACCTCATTCTCTCCGGCCCGTGATGATGACTCCTAGTCTCAGTTGTTGCCTCGCATAGCGCATAGAGGGAGTGGAGGACTCCAGAATATCTGTCGTTGATTTCTATTGACTTGCGGACCCCTCGGGGCCATTTTATTTGAGTGTACCTTTTTAGGGTAAGTTAGCCTGCGACCACGGGAATCGACCGCGTCGAGTGTTGGATCAGCACGGACATAATACGAAGGTACTGGGTAGCGAGAGATCGGAACGGTTTTTAATGTGAAGACAACAACAACAACAATACAAAGCAGAATTTAAGTTAACATAACATCAACCCAACTAAGTAAGGCGAATAAAGGTTTACACAACAAAACGAGGCCTACAAAAATATTTATATATATTATAACTAGGAGGTAGGTGGAGAGTTACTCACCTTTCGAGGTGTCTTTGCGGACTACCTAGGAAGTGGAGAGTTGCCGTATTTGGAAACCGGATCGCTTGTCCATTAGCATAGCCGTTTGTCACGGTCGATGCTGGGGGGGTGTTCCGGCCGGACGTCCCAACCGGTTCTTAATACGATGATAATGGATACTTTGCTATGGTCGCGAAGTATCCCGAGGGTGCGGGCTCTAATGACCGGGGATTCGAACAGACCTATTATGTTCCCCCGGTCCAGCCTGTTGGGGGGGTTCAGGAGATGTTCCCTGACCCCCGGGATTGTACCGCCCCCCTCGGCGTACCTTCCCGACCAACACCCAGGTGGTTAGTTACCACCGCCGATCACGCGAGAGAAACTGAGCCATACGCTTGCCTTGGTGTCTGACCAACTGCCAACACTTGTGAGAGCTGAACCTGATACATACGCTGATTATCGAGCTTGCGAGGAACCTTGTGACTACTGTTGTTGGACGTCGCCAATCACCGCTTGAAGTCGCACCACCCCTGCTTGATTGTTCTGCATGATCGATCTCTACGGACATTGCTTAAATCTGTGCTCAGGTGAGAGGTATCTATCCGAATTAAAACAGAGATATAACCTTGTCTGGAACAGACCCGGTGTGTTCCATACCACCACACATCCCAAAGGGAACTTGCTCGCACGTGAACTGGAGACAACCGTCTCATAGTTTACTATTATAGTCCGCAAAGACATGATCTAGAAGGGAGAGTCCGACCCTCCACTTCCTAGATAGTCCGCAAAGACATAATCTAGGAAGGAGAGTCCCGATCTTGGACCAGGAGACGGTGATCTTGAATCTCGTGGACCAAAACGGAGAAGGCGATCTTGAATCTCTTCCATCCATTCTCCACCAATCGGTACGATGACGGCGGTGTCAAAAAAATCGCGTATGAGACTTGTCGCGTTCCTCCACTGCCATCACACACCCCCAGACTGCCAACCAGACACTGTCAGTCGGTAGGCTCAAGGCAGTGGCACACACAGGGATAAACTCATGCAGAAAATGAAGGACGGGCGGCAATACCGACGCCCGCATCCACTTCGCGCTTGGTTAGTTCCTTCCAGTCGCCATTAGGGTATTCCACCCGCCAGTAGGGGTCGCAAAAGTCGAACACGGTGGCTTTGAAAACCTTGGGTTGACCTTTATTGTTGACAAACTCCTTCTCCACCGGTGGTGTGCCCATAGGACAAGCTGCGATGCATGTTCCCGGGACGTGGCCTCACGTGCGCCCCTCAGAGGCGGACCGGCAAGTCTTGGCGTGGTGTCCTCACCATGGTACTCCTAGTACAGGGTGTTCGTGAGGTGGATTATGCCATCCTTACGAAGGCTACTGCGGTAGTACTCATGTGTGGTTTTGAGCTATGTCAGTGCGCAAGTACGTGGCCGTCAATCGGTCATTTGGATCTTCGGGGTATCTCCGGTAGTGGTATCTTTGGCAAGTTGTCACGTGTTCCGTGCTGTCATGTATTCCGAGTTCCGAATGTGTCTTGCGACTGTTGCTCACGTGCCTCGGTGTTTGTGATGCACCCTGGTGCCCACTCCCTTCCGTTGCTTGTGTATACGAGGGCGACCAATAGAACGACTTCACCATCTCTTCACATTGTCAACCGGGACAGCCGTGCTTATCCAGCAGCACTCGGCTTGGGGCCAGTCAACACTCTAGCGTGTCTTGTGTGGCGTTAACGCCATAGTCTAGTGCGGGAGGCACACAACATGTCTGCGAAAGACTCTGGGAACTCTGGCGGAGGCGTAGCCGGCCCGACTCGCGAGGAGCTTAGGACGGCCATCGACGACGCCGTGGGCGATGCCAGCACCAGATTGGAGCAGATGGTGACGGAGAAAATGGAATTAATCATGGACACCTTGTCCCGGTTAGTGCCCGGGGCACCGCCCGCCGGAAGTGCGACCGCAGCGGGCGGCGGGGGGGAGTCACTGGGGAGGACGCACGCCTTCCCCGGCGCGGGTCAGCTGGGCCAAGCGCCGAATACCGAACGAGGGCTCGAGGGGGCGAGAGGACTGCGAGGCCCGGATACCACGCCTAAAACAGTTGGAATTCGACATCGACGAAAAGAACTGGCTGATGTTTCGAAACGATTTCATTACGCAGGTGCAGACTTGTGGAATGGGTCGTGCCAGACAGCTATGTACCGGGATCTGTGGGGGATGCTGACCGGAGCGATCTCCAACAACTCCACAAAAATGCTGGTTTACGATCGCAAGGGGCCCTCGGCAGCGTGGCGTGCGTTGGAAGTGTTCGTGTGTTTGGATACGATCTGGTTAGATCTACCGGCAACAACAGAGGGCACGCAGATGGGGCATATGTGCACCTTGAAATGGTTGCATGTGCGGGGACCCCTCGAACTCCAAAGAGGGCTTCACTTCTCCCTACTACCCTTGTGTGTCTAATACAAGAGATAAAACGTCTTCCCCTTCCAAGTAAAGGACATANTGTTCGTGTGTTTGGATACGATCTGGTTAGATCTACCGGCAACAACAGAGGGCACGCAGATGGGGCATATGTGCACCTTGAAATGGTTGCATGTGCGGGGACCCCTCGAACTCCAAAGAGGGCTTCACTTCTCCCTACTACCCTTGTGTGTCTAATACAAGAGATAAAACGTCTTCCCCTTCCAAGTAAAGGACATATACGAACACACTAGTGTCAGTCCCTCGAGGGAGAGTCCATTAGGAATGTCAGGTCGCAAAGATGGGGGTGACTCCTCCAGCGACTCTGCGGCGGAAGACAGAAAGAGGTCAAGAGAAGAGCTCGTGGCCCTGAGGACGCAAGTTAGCTCGCTGAGGGATCAGATGAGCCAGCTATTGTCGCTAGTGGAAGATACCATGAAGGCAAGCAAGAAGGAGGATCCAGCTGGCACCATGGAGGGTGCCGCTGATCGCGGCGATGCTAGGGAGAGCGCAGCCGCGGAGTCCACGAACGCCAAAGGAGGGACACCGTGGACCGGGAGTGCGCAGGACGGGAGGTACCTGCGCGAACCTGTTCGAGAGTCTGGCCCGCCAGGGCGACACAGCGGCGAAGCAGGGGGCTTTGACCCCCAAGAGGTGAGAGTAGCCGCTGCTCACAACGACGATTATAGTAGTGCCATGGGAGATGGTGGTGCTGCTGTTGGCTTTGGATACGGAGCCACAACCCCAGCGATGGAGTACCAAAGTGGGCGGTACACTTCTCCTCCGCTCAGTGGGAAATCGAAAGATTTCAACGAATGGCTAAATGATTTCCGCATGGCAGCTAATGGCGCAAACCTGTTGGAACAGTTTGAAGAGAACGGGAGCTTGGAGATCCCCGTCAACAGCGGAAAGAGCAAGTTTTCGCTGTCACAGCAGTACCGGAGCGAGAAAGTAGAGCTCGCATTCCACGCGTGGAACTTCCTGTCTCACGCGTTGAAAGAAAAATATCGGAAAATCATCAAGAGGGCAGCGACGCCCCAGAGAGCTCTTCGTGAGCTCAAGACCATACACGACCCTGAATAATCTGTACAGCCATCAGGGGACCTCAAGTCCCTAAGGTCGACCAAGATCTCTAGAGGTGAAAACCCTCCCAAACGCCCTAAAGGAGATGCTCCAAACCGCAAAGTCCTTAACCGAGAAAGGACTAACTGTCAACGAAACGTTCGTCCTTCACCTCTTCCTGGATGCCCTTTCGGACGAGTATGCCATGACAAAGCACAACCTGCGACACGCGAAGATTTGACGCGGACCGGTGTGCTAAAGGAAGTAATGATCGAATACAAGGCGATCAAGGACAAGCTGGAGCAGGGGAAAGGAAAAGGGGCGAAGGGCGCAGNGATCAAGGACAAGCTGGAGCAGGGGAAAGGGGCGAAGGGCGCAGAGCAAGCGTACTTCACCGACGGTGAGGGCCGCAGGGAGCGGTACTCAAGTAGGAGTCAGGGGCAAGGTCGTGGTCGTGGCGGCGGCCGTGGCCGCAGCAACAGTCGTGGCCGCGGCGGCGGCGGTCGCGGCGGCGGCGGCGGCGGTCGCGGCGGCCGCTCAGGCGGATTCGGAGGAGTCGAGGATAGCAAGGGAAGTAGCAGTGGAGGCGCCGATGGCGGCGGTGGCGGGGACTATAAGTTCCCGGCCGGTGCTTTAGGTGTGGACATCGTGGACATCAAGCGATCGGCTGCACTACCAACGAGAAGGACTTCGTGCCGTGGTGTGCACGCTACGAGGGGTGGGGCCACACCAAAGAAAATTGCGCAACGGAGAAGGCCGTCCTAGCGCAAGTGGTGGAGCATGAGAGCGACGTGGACTCCGTGGGAGACCAGGCGTTTTGTGCCGTGGCAGTCCCCCCAGGCGAGTGTGGTACCGTTGGTGAAGTAGGTCTAGTGGGGGTTGTGGAACAAGGCCAGGCGGTGTACGTGGCCGACACAGCGGCCACNAGACCAGGCGTTTTGTGCCGTGGCAGTCCCCCCAGGCGAGTGTGGTACCGTTGGTGAAGTAGGTCTAGTGGGGGTTGTGGAACAAGGCCAGGCGGTGTACGTGGCCGGCACAGCGGCCACGTGCTCTATGTTCCGATGTGCAGACAACTTCGTCAACTACCGTGAGCGTAGCGGTTGGGTGAAGGGGATCGGAGGCGACAAGGCCCCCGTTCCTCTCCTAGGATACGGAGATGTGACCGTAGTCCTACAGACGGAAGATGGTGGAGTACCCGTACCAGTACTGAATGATCCAGCCAACGACCGCTACCCCCGCGGGCTAGAAGGGAAGAAACTCCTCTTGGGCGCCTCGAATGCTGGCCCGCTGCGCCATGGGCTTGAGAGTGGCCGCACGCGGAAGCAGACCCGGGAGATGCAAGGTGCCTGGGAGATGCCGGGGCCCGGAGAAACACCGGACCCGGAAGAGGTATTGCTGGCGACCATCCTGGAAACTGGCGGGATGGGGATTGTTGAGGACTACATCTGCAACTCGCTTGTGAAGGAGCAGTGGGACGAGGAGCAGACACGCCGTATGGAGGAGATGAACAGGCGCGAGATGCAGGAGGTGTTGGGCCCGGAACAGCAGGCGTTCGGGGCCGAGGTCGACGCCAGCGGGTCTTCGCAACCACTCCCAGACCCACAGCTAAGAATGATCTCGCCAATCGGGCAGAAGCCGAGTGGTGTGGAAGCAGTACAGATGACGTACAAGGATGTGATGAGTTCCAAGTACAAGGTTTTCTTGGAGGCGGCCATGAAGAAAGAGATAGATGGCCACGACAAGACTGGAACCTTTACCAAGGTCAAGGAGCCGCCCGAGGGGCGGAAGGCCATAGGTTCAAAGTGGGTGTCCTCTTGGAATCCGAATGAGAAGGGCCTGATAGTCGACGTCAAGGCCCGTATGGTTGCGCGGGGTTTCTCTCGAATCCCCGGCATCGACTTCCACCACTCATCCTCAGCGTGCCCGTCTGCAGCGTCTGTCAAGACGGTGATTGCCGTAGCCACTGAAAAGGGCAAGAAACTCGCTCACTGGGATGTGAAGCAAGAGTACATCCACGCTAAGCTAAAGGAAGAAATATATCTCAGGTTCCCGGAAGGCTGTGGTAGCATGTCCGGCAAGGTGGTCAAGGTTGAGCGTGCACTGTATGGCCTAAAGCAGAGTGGCCGTGAGTGGGGATTTGAAGCTGCCGATGCCCTCATCGAGAATGGATACGAGCAGTGCAAGGTCGACCCGTGTGTCTTCCGGAAGGCGGTGGATGGAGATGTCGTAGGTCTCATCGTCATCTACGTAGATGACATCTTAGTGGCGGCAGACGAGGGAGAGCGAGAGGAGTTGTTCGCTTCCCTCAACAAGAAGTTTCCGGTGAAAGATCTGGGGGAGTGTACCTGGAACGACGGGTGTGCTATCGCCATGGATGTAGAAAATGGCATCACCAAGCTGTTACAGACAGTATACATTGAGAGTATGCGAAAGCGGTTTGATGTGACCACGACCGCTTTCACCCCTGCTGCCACCGACGCCGACCTAGGGCCGAAGAGAGATGACGAGCCCGCGGTGGATAAGCCTGTGAGGGAGGCGATCGGATGCCTGATGTGGACGAAGCTGACGAGGCCAGACATCGCCCTGCCTCTGAACAAGCTCCAGAAGATCGCCCACTCACCAACCGGGAGGATATGGAACGCGCTTGTGCGGATCGTGTCCTACCTGAACTTCACGAAGGACTTCGGCATCACCTACGTACGGGGGTCAGGACTAGACCTCAGCGTGTTTGTCGATGCCAGCTACGCTGACAACGAAGTATACAGGCGTTCTACGACCGGGCTAGCCGTGACCGTAGGTGGTACCGTGGTGTGTGCATCCACCAAGACGCAGCCAGTGACGGCTCAGTCGACCTCGGAAGCAGAGTATATGGCAGCCGGGGAGGGCGTAAAGGAGGTTGTTTGTGCGTGGCGTTCTGTCGTTCATAGCGCCCGAGACGAGTGGGGCGAAGATCAAGGTCCTTGAGGACA